TACTGTAGGCTTACAAATAAAGTAAACTAGAAAAAAGAAAAGGTTATTAAGAAAATCATAAGGAAGAGAAAATACATTTATATTACTGTACATATTTATTGAAAAAAAATCCTTATAGAAGTGGATTTAGCAGTTTAAACCATGTTGTTCAAGGGTCAACTGTAATTAGTGTTTATAAAAAAACAAAAAAAAATTTTTATGCTGCTTTAGCTTATATAAAATAATCTATTATACTATGGATGTTCTAAGGCAGTGATGGCGAACCTATGACACGCATGTCAGAGGTGACACACGAGCTCATTTTTTTGGTTGATTTTTCTTTGTTAAATGGCATTTAAATATATAAAATAAATATCAAAAAATATAAATCTTTGTTTTACTATGGTTGCAAATATCAAAAAATTTCTACATGTGACACGGCACCAGAGTTAAGTTAGGGTTTTTCAAAATGCTGACACGCCAAGCTCAAAAGGTTCGCCATCACTGTTCTAAGGTAAGAAGTGGATATAGTTAAGTTTAACAGTTTAAATTATCAAAAAATATATTATTTTCTGGGAAATAACAAAGTAAAGGTTCTTATAAACCCAATTCATAACTCACTAGAGAAAATAACACAGCATCTCTGAAGAAAGTTCAAAGATGAAGAGACAGAAATAAAAGTGTTATGTGGAATGAATAACAGAGTTTAATTCACACTGTAGTTACACTATGTGGAATGAATAACAGTTTAACTCGTTCTGTAGATGCACTGTTTCCATTCCTCTCTCTACCCAAAACTCAGGTATGGATACACTATTACACATCTCTCCACACAGTTATAGAGCCCTGGCATTAGCTATTTAATGTCATTATATATAAATTATATTAGTACTTGTTAAGATACTATTGAAGTCTATATAAGAATATACAGATTAAAAACATGTTAGAAAATTACTATTAGATGGGAAATTTAGAGTTTTTCTAAATGTTTCATTTTATGTATGAAAGCTAAGGGCAAGAACCATCAGGTGGCATGTTTAAAGTGACATAATTAGTGACTAAGGCGATGAAGTCTACTTGGTTCCCAGACCACTAACCTTTCTATTAACTCCTATGCTTTCTACCAAACTTCAAACCATAAAGTGATTAATAATAATGATACTACAAATGTTATCATTTTATCAGTTCTCTTATTTTTTTTTTTTAAATATATTTTATTGATTTTTTACAGAGAGGAAGGGAGAGAGATAGAGAGCTAGAAACATCGATGAGAGAGAAACATCGATCAGCTGCCTCCTGCACATCTCCTACTGGGGATGTGCCCGCAACCCAGGTACATGCCCTTGACCGGAATCGAACCTGGGACCTTTCAGTCCGCAGGCTGACGCTCTATCCACTGAGCCAAACCAGTTTCGGCAGTTCTCTTAAGTTTGTAGTCCAATAATTCATTATTCAATAAATATTTACTACTAACTTTCACAATTTAGAAAAAAGGTTTTCTACACATTCAAGAAATGAGGTACTTGGTTATTTGGGTTGACAATAGTAATTTACTTCAGACTTTGAAGGTGTTATGAAATAAGTTTAAAATGGAGTTCTACAGCCCAAGTAAATATTTGTTTCAAAAGTGACAGTAAAAAAAGTGATAACAGGTATAAGGCAGAGTCATTTGTTAATAAGTACGTTTACAGGAGATCTGGTAACAGAAATACTCTCGAATCATTTCTAATAAAGTTTAGTTTAATTTGCTGTTTATGAAATTACACTAAATATATAATGGAGAGGGCCATTTCCCTTCCTTTTTTGGGAAAACAAAACAAAACAAAAAAACAAGTCAGAGGACAAATTACCTTCTTCTGATTAAGGACAACTGTCACAGAAATGGTTTGTTTTTTTTAAAAATATTCTCATTAAACAGCATTTCTAGTTAGTTTTAAAATTAAAAGAATAAACTAAAGTCTTCCCCTTAATTACATAAAAAGTCGGAACTCTCACCAAGGTAAAATAGTTGAGAAACAGGTGGCCCAGAGGCCTCTGATGTCAAGCAGGCATGAAGTTGAGAACAAATCTTATTGGAAAGCGTCTAAGCTATAAGTGAGACTGACCAATAAAGAAAAAAGAAAGATGTACGGATTAGGAGTTAGTGAGGAAGACACTGAACTGCATTTCAGGAATATATGTTACTTCTACATAAAGTATCCTTTTAATAGTAACATTTGAAAAGGTCTGCTACACTGATAATGTGAATGAGGATCTGAGACAAGCTCGGACAATGCAAAGTGGTGAAGGTGTCCATTGCCACCTAGTGGTATGGCACCAAATGCAGAAAAGAAATGTGCTGCCTCCAAAACAGGGGTCTCCACACAGGAGGGAGAGAACAAGACAATCGACTGCAAAGTAGGAGAAAAATATTAACATTTCTATTAATTATTATTTCATTATTTATTGTAACGTGTTATACTAATACCATATTATATGTATATTTTGTAAATAAATATACAAATATTGGCAATATATGCTGTGTATTTATGCCTTTTAACGATTCTATTTTTTAACTCTCCATTTATTTAATGAAAAAATTAGTTTGGGACAACTGCATCAAGGGGTCAGAACTATAGATCTAAAGATTTAAAACCAAGATCGATCTCAGAGAAAGAAACTACATTAATTATGAGTATCTCTCTTAGTAGAGAAATAAAATTGTGAGATATCACTGTCACATAAAGAAGAATATGCAAATCCTATCTATTCATGGATTAGGTACCTCTTCAGAAATACATTTTATACGGATTGAAAAGGTTAAAATTTTGAAAAACCATAAAGTATTTATATCCTTTTATTATATTATTATTTTGTACAACATCAAATCTTAGGTTACTCTCTCCAAAGAGGCTACCACTAGGAAGCCTTCCCCACTGGCACTTGATATGTGCTCACAGAATGCCAAATAATTTAATAAAAAAGAGATGAAAATATTGAGCACATATCAAGGAAAAATAATTACACTACTGCTTTAAAGGCTCACAGATGAATGACTTCCGATTCAGCTGCTTCTGCTTCCTTTGCCTCTGCAACATGCTAGCTGCGTGAACTGAAGCATGTTATTAACTCCCTCTAGGTCTGTTTCTCCTACAAAATCATCTTGACAGTACAGTGGCTAAGTGACTCTGGATGCCGATCTCTTGAGACTGAATCCTGCTCCACCACTTACTAGTTAGGTGATCCTGAACTGGTTACTACCTATCTGTGCCCCAGTTTACTCATGTATAAAATGGGGATATTAGGAGCTACTTCAAAAGGCTGCTGGGCAGTGCCTGGCAGGTTGTCAATGATTGTTAAATAGTAGCTGCTGTTACTATCTTTGTTATTGTCTTCATCGTGATAACTAAGTTATTAAGCATTATGCTAAGCACTTTGAGCACTTCATTTCTCCACAGAAACCCTATAAACTTAGTATTAAAATTTCCATTAAAAGAGAAAGTCAGCCCTAGCTGGTTTGGCTCAGTGGATATAGTGTCGGCCTGCAGACTGAAGGGTCCTTGGTTTTATTCCTGTCAAAGGCATGTACTTCCGTTGCAGGCTCGAACACTAAGGGCCTGGTTGACGAGTGCGTGCGGAGGCAACCAATTGATGTGTCTCTCTCACATCGAAGTTTCTCTCTCTCTGTCTCTCCCTCTCCCTTCCAATCTCTCTAAAAATCAATGGAAAAATATCCTCGGGTGAGGATTAACCTAACTAACTAACTAACTAACTAACTAACTAACTAACTAAGAGAAAGTCAAAGTATACAATACTTGGCACATGGTAAGTACTACTGAAAATAGTCAGACATTAAAAAAACTGGGAAGGCCAAGCCGGCGTGGCTCAGTGGTTGAGCTCAGTGGTTGAGCATCGACCTATGAAACCGGAGGTCATGGTCTGATTGCTGGTCAGGGCACGTGCCTGGGTTGCGGGCTCAATCCCCAGTGTGGGGCATGTAAGAGGTAACCAATCAATGATTCTCTCTCATCATTGATGTTTCTATCTCTCTCCCTCTCCCTTCCTCTCTGAAATCAATACAAATATATTAAAAAAAAAAACAAAAAAAAAAACTGGTAAGGCAAGTAATCCAAAATTAATATTTGGTTCATGTTTTTATATTGGAAAATAAATTTAAGGACAAAATCAGAAAGCAATACATCTGTTTAAAAGAAGCAAATCCCAATAATCACTAACAGTTGTTATATAGTAAGAACTCTGTATTATGTTAAGTGTTTCTCTGAATAATTATTCTAAATTCTGATGAGAGGATGTGAGATGCTTTTAAAAAGGAGCAGATATATTCCCCATTATAATGAAGGCTCCTGCGGCGATAGTTATTTACTGTCACAGGGTCAGGAACACCATTTAAATGTGATAAAAGTCATCGATTCTCTCTCCTCAGAGTAAAAATCATAAATACTTACAAAATTTAACACACAATTTAAAGGAGGATTTATAGAGTCCCTATGAGAATCTCTGTCCTAGAGGTCTGGGACTTTGTCATTTATATATTGGTATTACTTTTACTATACAGTATTTTTAAAAATATATGAACCCATAATATTTCATCAAATTAAGGAGGGTTATGTGCAGCTATTATTAGTTCTAAATATTGAAAGGAGCTAGTTTCATATTACCAGTGTGAAATAATATTTTGAAATAAGACAAAAAGATAAATCTAAGTAAGAAATCAATCAACATGCTAGGCAAAATTTAGTGCCTTTAAGGAAGATATTAAAACTAGATTGTGCAGTTTCTAAATTTAATTAATTGTGAATACAGAATTAAGATATAAGATCAGTGAGCTATGTAGTATTCCTTCATCCTAAAAAAAAAAGCCAAATGGTACATTTCTAAGTCTCATCTATCATCTGTTATTTTAAAATAAGAACATAGTATTAGATCAGATATTAATTAGGTATTAATGTATGATATATGTTTCTATAAGAATTAAACTATAATCTAAGATCTTTTTGATCAATAATTATAAAAAAGCTTACCATTAGGGGCGTCTCGTCTTTTCTCTGTTAGAAAATAAATTAAAAGAATATTATTAGACATATGTAGTACAAAAATCAACATAAAAATTTACTTAAACTCCTGTCTTGATTGATTACAGGTGATTAAAGAAGGTTTCTCTGAGGAACTGACAACTGAGAAGACATCTGAATAAAGTGAGAGAGGGAAACATATTCAAAGGCCCTGAGAAGGAAATAGCATGAAGGAACAGCATGAAGGCAGGACTGGAACGAGAGAAAGGAAGAGCGGAATGAGATTAAGTTAGAAGGAGAGCCAGGGACTGGACAATGTAAGGTCCCAGAGGCCACGGTTAAGGTATATAGATTATATTCTATGTATAATACGAAGCTCTTATAGGTTTTGAAAATGGCAAGAGACATGATCTAATCTATATTTTAAAAGTTTATTCTGGCTACTATGTAAAAAAAAAAGATAGTATGAAGCATAGACTGGAAGCAGGGAGTCTAGTGAGGGAGTTGTAGTAGTCCTGAAGACAGATGATGGCTTTAATTAAGGTGACAGCAGCAAAGGTGGTGAGAAACAGATCCAAGACATATTTTGAACGCGGAGCCAATGCGACTCACTGACAGGATTTATGAGGGACCATGGTGAGCCAGAGAGATGAGAGGGAGCCAATGTCTCTTACTGAGATGGGAAGACTAGGCAAGGAGAAGGAACAGGTCTGATTGGGGTTGGGGAACATGGTCAAGTGTTCTGCTCAGATTGCTAAATTTGAAGGCTATTCTGAAACCCAACTAAGGTGGACAAATCTGAAAGTTGAAGAGAGGTCAGCAGTGAAGATAAAACTTTGGGAATCATCAGCATAGAGACAGTTTCAAAGCTACAGGACTGAGTTAAAGCTCAAAGTTAATGAGAATACTCAGATGTCTGAGCAATGGGGCAAACTAAAAAAAATACTGAAAAGCTGTAGCCAATTAGGCAGGAGTACAGCAAAGAGAACTGCTATCAATCCTTTGTATTCATACTCTCACCTACCAGGTTTGACACAATTTTGGTTTAAAAAGTTCAAAGTAGTTCAAGAACTTTAAACAAATATAATTTCTAGATATTTTTAAATTAAGAATTCTCCAAAATTATACGAGAAAAACACATACATGATAAAACAGATTATAAACAACTATAATCTAAAATTAAGAATCCTGGCAATGGTAAATATATTACTCCATCTGGTGGTCTCATGAAATAACTTTCTGAAACAGTTGAAGTAATTTAGCCCTATCTATGTCAATGAATGTCAATCTCCAATTTCCAAGATGATGTTATCTCTGCATCCAGAGAGGAAATACTTCTTAAAATTGGTGATGACACAGATGTGGACATATATTGAGATAAATAAGAAGTTGAGAGCGTAAGTTCTAAAAAGCAATTACTTAGATGACACTATCCTCACTTGAGAAGCATTCATGTAAAAAAAGGGAGGGTTTGGTTGAACACGGAATGTTAATACTGTGAAATGTCTGCTAGAAGCATTAGCAGAACAGTGCTTAATCAAATCAAGCATCATTTTAGTGTGACAGTACAGCCAGACTACTTCTGGAGTATGGTATTGAAATCTGGACATCATATTTGAAGTTGGATCATTTCTTCAAATCTGGACCATTTGAAGAAGACACAAAAGTAGATTCAGAGCAGTGTACTCAGGATGATGAGTCTATAAACTCCATCATGTGAGAAATAAGAAAACAGAACTAGACTCAAGAAGTACATAATAGATGGAACAGATAACTTCTAATATTAAATGGCTACTGGGAGGAAAATAAAATAGACTAATTCTTTGTTGCCCCAAAAGTTGAACCCCATACATGTAAGTTAAAGAGAGGTAGTTGGAATTTGAGTTAGCATGAAGAGCTACTAAATGATGAATCAGCTCCCTCCCTAATGTGATCTCTCTCCTTTTGAAACACTATGTCTAAAAGCTTAGGAACTATATCAAATAGAATTCTTATACCAGGTAAAAGAGTAAGTGACCTACTAATTTCAAAGTCACTATTATATATTTTAAGAAGTATTCTTTTACTCTTTTGTATAATGAAAATGTCACATATTTTGACTTAAAAAAGTCCCAGGGAGCTCCTGGCCTATGACCAGAGCATGTCACTGAAATACGCACTGAACCACAAATAATCCCATAGCAATTAAATCCTTTCCTAACATGGAATCAAGTGGTAAATGCCTTAGCTGTCAAAAGAAGTAACAAAAATAATAGGCCCCTAATAATTCTCCTATTCACTCACTACAAGTGGAATATAATAAGTGGGGCAACAACTTAGTTCATTTTATTTTCAGTGTTACCTCACCTCCCACTTGCAAACCCTTTAAGAGAACAATAAAGATGTATAAACTGGAATACATGCTTTTACATTCCTGTTTTCCCAATCCAGTTTCTACCATTTTTACGGCTTATTTCCTCTTATTGGTAAAGTACAATCGTGAATACAGTAATCTTCAAACTGGGGTAACATGTACCGTGGGTGTACAAAAAGACTTTTCAAGGAGTATACGGGAATGGCTAGTTTTAAAGGGATTTACTTGTTCATCTCAACTCCATGTGTTATTTTTCCTACAACTGCTCTGCTTAAGATAATTATGGAGAGGTTCACCTTTCTTAAATCACCCCCTTCTCCTACTTTACAACAGAAAGGCCTGGCACACTATTGTCAAATAGTTATATACCAAAGAATTTAAAGCTCTGTACTGCAATGCATCATTTAACTGTTTTACATGCATTAGCATTGTATACATTAAACTAAGTTCCTTATGGTTTCATCATTTACAACATTAGGGACAAAATAGAGACAAGGCAATGTTTATAGATCTTGTTTGTAACTTTGCTTATTTGCTTCAAGACTTGCCTAAAATATCTGTTTACAAAGTATGAAATACTTTTAAAAATGTAAGTTATAGTGTCATAAAAATGCAAATTTAAAAGTCAGTATTTAATTTTAAAGGTAAGGATTAGCAACTTTTTAAATAAAGGACCAGATAGTAAATATTTTAGATTTTTAGGTTTTTTTCTGTCATAACTATCCAACCGTGTTGTGGCAAAAAGCAGTCATAGACAGTATGTAACCCAATGAGCATAGCTGTGTTTAAAAAAAATTTTATTTACAAGAATAGGCAATGGGCCAGATCTGTCCTGTAAGCCATAGCTTGCTAGCTCCTGTTAAAAAGAATTAGAAAAAAATAAAACTTACCAGATTTCCTTTGTCGTCGGCCCAACAAGTCCGTAACTGCTTTTCGGAATTTTTTTGCTTCTTCTTCATTGGCAAAATTAAGAGCAACTTGACAAGTCTAAAATATTTTCATCAAAAAGAAAAACAATAAAAAACATGAATTTAGTTTTATATAACAAAAAGGTGATAACTAACAGAAGCACATTTCTGAAGAAAAGTTTAACTTTATTAAAAGATAAGAACTCATTTTATGACATGAATAACTTAAGAAGGCAAAAAGTTAAAAGGTAAAATAAAAGACTACTATTAGAAAAGTTACCTATCACAGTAGATACTCAAATATTAAACTGAATATCTTCAAAAAAACAACAGAGGCAAATTGAATTTGATCCTTCAATAGAGCTCTGTAAATAATTTAGATTTGAAAAGGCAAACACTGGAAAAGTTGGTAAAATGCAGATCAACTATCTTTACTAGTTTGTTTTCATTTTGCAGCTTAATTATAGGCATTATTTAAATTATAACCTTAATTTAGGTAAATTATTAAAAATATAGAAACATACTGACATTATTAATGGCAATTAATACATAATTTAATATGTATATATTTATATCCTATCAAGAGAAATATGAAAAATCATAGCTAAAGAAAAAAAACTGTCAGAAAAGATAGATATACGATCTAATCCAAACCTTTTTCATTGAAGAACATTTACAAAATACAAGTATAAAAACAAAGAAAATTAATTCACCTATAATCCATTCACTCAGATAATCCCTGTGAGCATATGGTATAAAAATCCTTCTAACATTTTCCCCAAGTATATGCAATACATTTTTTAAATTGCCCCCCCCCCCCCCGCTCCATTTACTGTATTTTAGCACTCTTCTAGGTCATAAACTACTTTTTCAGAAAATAATTTGAATGGCAATAGAATCTTCAATATTTAAAAGCTACAATGGATTAGTGAACAATTAGACTTCGTTTTTATACATAAGAAAACAGAGAGATTAAACTATCTGCCCCAAAACAGAAAGAAGATAAAAGAAAAAGAAAAAATCAGCCCAGCCCGCATGCCTCAGTGAGGTCACAGTTCGATTCCCGGGTTGTGGACTCAGTACCCAGTGTGGCGTATGCAAGAGGCAGCCAGCCGATCAATGATTCTCATCACTGAAGTTTCTATCTCTTTCTCCTTCTTCCTTCCTCTCCGAAATCAATAAAAATATTTCTTTTTTTTTAAAAAAGAAAAAGATCAAACTTCCTTTCTACAATAGCAAATTACATTTACAGTCCTCTTTAAAATCTTTTACTTTTGCCCTTATATCTTAGCCATTTCTGCCTGGCTAACATGGCCCAGGGGTTGAGCATCGACCTATGAACCAGGAGGTCATGGTTTGATTCCCGGTCAGGGCACATGCCCGGGTTGCAGGCTAAATCCCCAGTAGGGGGTGTGCAGGAAGCAGCCGATCAATGACTCTCTCTCATCATTGATGTTTCTATCTCTCTCTCCCTCTTCCTTTCTCTAAAATCAATAAAAATATACATAATTTTTAAAAAAATCTTAGCCATTTCTTCCAATGTAGCTATATCTATGAAGTTTTTAAAAGTAAAATAATTCTTTTTCTATTCAATAGTTACACAGAAAACTCATAAATGCTTTCCACAGACAAATGTAAAAAGCAATTACATTAAACAAGGCAATAAAGAAAAATATAACTTACATCTCCAGCAAATGTATGAAAATATCCTCTAGGACTATTATATACAAAGTTATTGTATAGTTCTTGCTCCCACAATAGTTTCCCATCCTAGAAAAAAGTAAAAGCTGGAGTTACCAAGAAAATAATCTCTAGGAATAAAACAAAGAAGATGACTACTATTAAGGGAATTATTTATATTAATAGCTTTTAGATATACACATACAACATATGTAATACATAAGTAACACACTATAATCAGTAATTTCTTAATAATACTAGATAATGTTTCTCTCATAAAAAGTACATACCATGTGAGTTTAATTCCATATGCTATGATATTATCTCATTAGCCAAGCATTCCCAAATACAGTTATACTTGTTCAATTACATAACTAGAACAATTACTAGATAAGCAATGTTAGATAGAATACTTTTGTACATGCACTGATTATCAATGCATAATTTCATCAGCAATATTTATAGACTGTATACTATTAAATATTACAGAAAGAGTTCATGTTCCTTTTCTCAATTCTCTAGCAGGGTCAAATATACCTTTTCTGTACTGCTCATTAGCAATCTATCAAATCCTAACTTTTGCAGAGTAGCCTCCCAATTAAACACTGGTATAAATATCAATCATGTGCAGAAAGAAACCAATGATTAGAGTGCACCACGGTTAAACAATGGTTAAGAGAGCCATGGATGACTGTCATACCTATGGCCCTAGTATAAGAAATATAATTAACCTTAATACCAAAGGTGGCTAATTGCAAGTATTCAGCAATGGTTATCTACAATTGAAAATAAGTAGTTAGGGAAATACAATCATTGCCCAATTCTGAAATGCAAGGTTATACCTATACCAAAATTTAAAAATATTTACAACACACTGTACATAAATTATGATCACTATACAGGAATTCCTTTCTTCTCAGTGAAGTTATATGGGCATTCCATTTCTAAACAGTACTTCTCATTGGTGATGAGAAATAAAATGGGGCAAAAGTAGGTTTTCAGTTGTGAGTAGGCAAAACACAGAGTTTATTCTTGCATTATTATTTATTGTATTTCCAAATGAACAACTGTAAAGCTACTTCTGACCCACCCTTATGCCAAAGGACTTAGGAATTTCTTTGAAACTATGCATGTGTTCCCCCACTTCCCATAATCACTGCCCAGCAAGCCACCATTAGTAACAGGAGTATGCCACATCTCTCAGCTGTGTTGGGGTATGGAAATAAAGGTGTTAAGAAGCACTAACAGCCCTGGCTGGTGTGGCTCAATTGGTTGGGCATCGTCCTGTGTACTAAATTGCCAGTTCAATTCCCAGTCTGGGCACATGTCCAGGTTTCGGGCTCCATCCCTGGTGGGAGAGGTGCAGGAGGCGGCCAATTGACGTTTCACGCTCACATCGATGTTTTCTCTCTCCCCCCCTTCTCTAAAATCAATTCAAAAATTTTTAAAGAAAACTAAAAAACACTAATTTACAAAGTGCAATTTCCTGGCCAGGTAGTTCAGTTGGTTAGAGCAGTGGTCGGCAAACTGCGGCTCGCGAGCCACATGGGGCTCTTTGGTCCCTTGAGTGTGTTTCTTCCACAAAATACCACGTGTGGGCCTGCATGTACAGTGCGGTTGAAACTTCGTGGCCCATCACAGAAGTTGGTATTTTGTGGAAGAGCCACACTCAAGGGGCCAAAGAGCTGCATGTGGCTTGCGAGCTGCAGTTTGCCGACCACTGGGTTAGAGCATTGTCCAGATACACCAAGGTTGAGTCTTCGATTCCCCATGTCAGGGCACATACAAGAATCAACCAATGACTGCATAAATAAGTAGAACACAAATCAATATTTCTCTCTCTCTCCCTAAAATCAATCAACCAATCAATAAACAAACAAAAATACTTCACTATGCAATATGTGGCTGTTTAAAAAACAACACACACACAATACTCCCCTCCCCCAAAAAATGAAAGTGCAGGAGCATAAATCTCAGGGAAAAAACTTTGCAACAGACCCAGATGGTTATCCCATTTTACAAATAAATAAGCTGAGGCCTAGAGAAGTAAAACAGTTTGACTACAAGCTATCTGACCATAAGTATCATCGAATAGTCAAAGTCAATTTTAGTTTTCTGTAATTATAATTTCACTATACTTATTGTCACATACAAATATTAAAGAGGCTTACCTATGAAAACGGTTTCAAAAGGTAAATGGAGACTTCATCTCAGCAAAAAGAGAATTACTTTTATAATAGCTATAATGGATGAATACCTGACAAAGAACAGCTAATCTGGACAATGGGAATGTGGATTTATGTTTCAGAGTGAGGGATACAAGGCTGCAAAAATGTGAACATGCCCATCTTGAGAGGATCATAAGGAAAAGTGGGCAGCAAATACATCATCATCATTATTATTTTTAATCCTCACCCAAGAACATGTATAGAGAGAGGGGGAAGTAGGAAGAAAGAGAGAGAGAATCGGCTGCCTTCCCAGACGTGTCCTGATCCAGGATCAAACCCATAACCTGGGTATGGGCCCTGACTGGGAACTGAACCGGCAGCGTTTTAGTGCAAAGAACAATGCCCAACCAACCGAGCTATTCCGGCTGGGTGCAAATACATGGTTACAGATACCGTATAATTCTTTAAACCTGAGCTGAGTAAATGACAGTGTGTACCAAACTAAAATACACTTCTGTAGCTCCCTGAAAGGACTATCTATATATCTAGTCTGTAATTGACAGGATGGAATAAAAGAGTATCATTAGAAAAGAAGAGAATGTGGAGAAAGCCTAAGACCCAAAGGCATAGAATAAACAAACGTGGTACAAAGAAAACTAGGGAACTATTCATGTCTGGCTTAGGAGATGTTCCCATTTGGTCTCAATGTCCAGGCTTCAATATCTAAAACCAAGCTTGCCCTTGTAATACTAATTTAAGTATAACTTAAATATTATATATGGTATAAATAAATCTACACTAAATTGTAATTGAGGTAGAAAATCTAATCACCTGCAATTTAGAGGAAGCAAACAAAACTCACCTTGATATCAAATATTCTTAAAAAATAAGATCTCTGTGGATTGTCCTTAACCAGACAAGCAACACCGCTGCACTTCTTTGACCACATACAGTTCCGATCTGCTGCATATAACTGTACCACTGCTGAAGACATAGTCTGTAATATAAAAAATTTATAGCTATTAGGTTCAAAGTAACACTCAACTGACTGCAGCCCCTGCTGACATATTAATGCAATCTCCTGAGAGACACCGAACCAGAACCACCCAGCTAGGCTGCTCCTGAATTCCCGACTCATAGAAAAAGGAGTTAATAGTTATTGTTATTTTAGGTCACTACTTTAGAAGCAATTTCTTATGCAGTAATAAATAATAGCTATACTGAAAATAATTATTGAAAGCTAACATTTACTGATGCTTAAAATGTGTTAGGAAATGTGCACATTCAAATATAACTCCATTTAATTTTTATTTCTATTATGTCCTCATTTTATGCTTGAGAAACCCAAGGTTAAAGAGGATAAATAATTTGTCCAATATGACAAACCTAAGTGACAGAAATCAAATTCCCATACAGATATTTGTGAGTTCAAATCCTATATTCTTACTCCCTGTAATAAACTGTTTTCTAATAAAGTGAACATTCAAGCAATTAGGTAGTAGTATTAGTAAAGGCTGACTTCTATATAGCAATTAACCACTTTAGTATAGCTATTAAGTCAAACTTGAAAACAAGCTACTAATTATAGTGCAGTGCCCTTTTAGATGCATAGGAGAGAGCTAATTCATTACATGCTATGGACACCTTAGTCGTGAGCATTCAGGTTTTCCAGTACACAATGTTGCCACCTCCCTCATAATTGTATCACAAAACAATGAAAATTTTCATTTAATTATAAATTAAGTCATTTTATAGCATAATCTAGAATGCAACTATTTGATTTTAAGTTTCTATAAGAATGGTACATACATATACTGGTACAGCACTTATAAATCTTTTATAAATAATCATGTTTTCTGATCCAGTAATTTCATTCCTAAACCAAAAAATTAAGAAATAATTTAAAACATAACCAAAAAATGGCCCTGGCCAGGTGGCTCACTTGGTTGGAGCATAGTCCCATACACCAAATGGTTGTGTGTTTGATTCTGGTCAGGGCACATGCCTAGGTTGTGGGTTTGATCCCTGGTCGGGGCACGTGCAGGAGGCAACCAATCGATGTTTCTCTCTCACATCAATATGTCTCTCTTGCTTTCTCCCCCTTCCTCTCTCTCTAAAATCAATAAAAACATATCCCTAAGTGAGAAATAATAAAATATAACCAAAACTTATTTTATTATGAATATAAAAGGACAAAATATGTATATAAACATACGCTAATTATTTTTTAATAGAAAGACTTTAAATATCCCAAAAGAGGAGATGGTTAAATAGTTATGGTATATCAATTCAATGAATATTGGGCACTGTAATTAAAAATAGACTACATTAAGATTTGAAGGTAATGCTGTTTTGGGTTACCAAACTATGCCTAGGAAATGGCCTCTATGATAAGAACTATTATATGTATATGTACAAGTCTCTTATGATAATCAAGTAAAAAATGTAAGATCAGTATACTGTTGGGGATCAAAATTTCATGAAGACATACATTTCCAGATAACAATGTTCCATTTTATGTTGCAGACCAAACTCATCTTTGAAATTCACAGAGAGTCGTGAACAGGACACAAAGCAGCAGGAAAATGTCCACAAGAGATACTAGAAGTTATAAAGATAGCTTAGAAACTAGGACATTGGGCTTTAAAAAGAAGATTGAAGAATGTGGGTATGGCTTTGGCCTGCTCTAAGTATACTGTGCTCTTCTGTAAGTACAGTCCCAGCATGATAGCTCCATAGGCTCTCTAACCCTAAGCCTTAGCATTAAAATCTACAGAAAAATGGATTTTGTATATATTATCCAATGGTGTAAGAGACGAGGTTAAAGAATTCAAAAATCAGATGGGAAAATTTGTTTTCTAAGGAAAATGCCTATAAATTACAGCCTTTTCAATATGGTGCTATCCAAATGCATTCACTTCTAAAAAGGAAAGCAATTAGGGAACCAGATGCCATTAAAGAGATTTAAAAATTCTCGTATTTTACTTTCTAACCAGAAAACAAGAAGTAACAGCTTGCAAAAGAAAAAAATGTCTTATTAAACAGAGTCTGTACTTCTATTATGGAAATCTCTTGCCATAGGATTAACATTATAAAACATTGTCTAGATGTATATGTGATTTTAAAACAAAAACAAACTCCCAAAACTAAAAATCCATATTTAAACGTTGATATAGGTTTAAAACAAATTCTTAAAATATTTGCTTAAAAAATAGAGACCCACGAAACAGTTTTATAATTTTCCACACAAACATGGTTGGAATTATAACCTTATTCTAAAACAACTTATATGTTAATATTAAAGAACCCAACTAATCATAAGCAATTTTCAGTAAGTGGATTTTCAAAATTTTGCTACAACCTTTTATTAGTCTATTTCGCCCCTTCTTATCAAAACTGGCAAAGTCTGAAAATTATGAATTTAAAGCCTTTTCTGATTAATTCAGAATATTATAGTGAATGCAATAGCAGCTTTACATACATAAAATTTGAGATATAAATGCTAGAAATAAAAATTGACTATCCCTTAAACTCTAGGCTGACAAGGGGTTTAATTAAGTTTTTAAAAATATTCCTTCCCTTCCTTTCAAGTAATTACAGCTAATCAACTCCATTACTTCTTGTCTTTCTTAATCTAAAAGGTATTACTTGAAAAACAACCTAAGGACAAGTGTTTAGGAAAGGAAATCTATTTCTTATTAGCTCAAAAATGTTAGGGTTAAAATTTGTTAATTAAAATGGAAAACAGTATATATCAATTTTGTAGAAATATTTTACACATCTTAATATTACAGTACTGAGTTATTACAGTAACACGTGCATCCTCAGAACTTTAATTTTCAAGGGCAGAAATCAGGTGGAGGATGCCCCTGGTCCAGTGATGGCGAACCAGTGACACGCGAACTCATTTTTTTGGTTGATTTTTCTTTGTTAAATGGCATTTAAATATATAAAATAAATATCAAAACTATAAATCTTTGTTTTACTATGGTTGCAAATATTAAAAAATTTCTGTATGTGACACGGCACCAGAGTTAAGTTAGGGTTTTTCCAAATGCTGACACGCCGAGCTCAAAAGGTTCGCCATCACTGCCCTGGTCAGTGTGCTTCAGTTGGTTATGTGTCGGCCCATGCACTCAAAGATTCCCAGCCAGAGCACTGCCCGGGTTAGGCTCCATCCCCTCTAGGGGGTGCAGGAGGCAGACAATTGATGTGCTGCTCTCATATCCATGTTTTTCATTTCTCTCTCAAAAACAAAACAAAACAAACAAAAAAATGGAGGATGAATTTAGGGACAGGAACCTGTCCCACTGTCCTCTGGCAGGGCACTTTTACCTCTATTGGGTTGCCTCAGCACCAGTCAAGAAGTATATCTTTGATTCCTTAAGTTCTTACTGTTTCCTTCATGTTTCTAGTGCCTTTTCCTGAGTCTTGTATAAATCTTGTTACATCACGTCTTATTCTAAAATAGAATACTTTTCTATATTAACTTATTACCTATTAAATACATTGTTATTCCCTTCAGCACCTAAAATATTTCTGCAAGCCTATACTTTCAGTTCACCTTTGCCCCTTGTAAGCAAATATTTGTTAAATTTAAAACTGCATTTTCAACCCTAACCGGTTTGACTCAGTGGACAGAGCGTCGGCCTGTGGACTGGAGGGTCCCAGGTTCGATTCCGGTCAAGGGCATGTATCTTGGTTGCGGGCACATCCTCAGTAGGGAGTGTGCAGGAGGCAGCTGATCGATGTTTCTCTCTCATCAATGTTTCTAACTCTCTATCCCTCTCCCCTCCTCTCTGTAAAAAATCAATAAAATATATTTTAAAAAACAAAAACAAAAAACCCTGCATTTTCTGATTCTGATAACAAATAGGGGAAAGACCTTGGTTTTAGGATACACACCCTGAAGTATTTATTATTTGTTAAATGGCATTTTTTAAATGTTTTATTGATTTTTAAAAATATATTTTATTGATTTTTTAATATTTTTTATTGATTTTTTATTGACCGCAACATTATATCAAATACAGACAATAAACAAAGGCCAGAAACCTGTTTTCAGCAGCTGAGGCCTCAGAGCTAAAGCTGGCCCAGAATAAAAAAAAAAAAAAAAAAAAAAAAAAAGGAGCAGTTGGGAGCTTCAGTCCCAGCCTGAAAACAGCCCTCAGCCCCTCAGCCAGACTGGCCAGGCACCCCAGTGGGGACCCCCACCCTGATCCAGGACACCCTTCAGGGCAAACCAGCCAGCCCCCACCCATGGACGAGGCCTCTATCCTATATAGTAAAAGGGTAATATGCCTCCCAGCACCAGGATCAGCGGAGCCGCGAGGCCTCCCGGCACCGGGATCAGCGTGACAGGGGCCAGCGCCCAAACCCCCTGATCGCCCTGCAGCTCTGTGTGTGACGGGGTGCGGCGCCCCAACCCACCCCCCTCCCACGGGCCCTGCTCTGTGTGTGATGGGGTAGAGCCATAACCTCCCCATTGGCCCTGCCCTGAGTGTGACAGTGGCGGCGCCCCAACCCCCTGATCGGCTCTGCTCTGTGGGTGATAGAGGGCGGCGCCCCAATCCCCTGATCCGCTCTGCCCTGAGTGTGACAGGGGGCGGTGCCCCAACTCCCCTATCGGCCCTACTCTGTGAGTGACAGGGGGGAGCTCCTCAACCCCCTGATCGGCCCTGCTCTGTGCATGACAGGGGGGAGCTCCCCAACCCCCTGATTGACCCTGCTCTGTGCATGAAAGGGTATGGAGCCCCAACCCCCCTGATGGGCCCTGCTCTGTGCGTGACAGGGGGTGGCGCCGCAACCTCCCCATCCACCCTGCCTTGAGTGTGACAGGGGGGCGGTGCCCCAACCCCCCAATCGGCCTTATCCTGAGCATGACTGAGGGTGGCATCGCAACCTCCCAATCTGCCCTGCTCTGTGCATGACAGGGGGCGGTGCCCCAACTCCCCAATCGACCCTGCTCTGAGCCCGACCAGGGGCTGTACCTAGGGA